GGTGTAATCGAGTCCGAGAGTGAGTGGGTCTAACCATGAGTGAGTCCGAATGCCAGTGAGGCTGAGTGTGCTGAGCCTGAGTATGAGTGAGTCTGACTGTGAATGAGTGTGGGCGTGAGTGGGTCAGAGTATGAGCGAATCTGGGTGTGAGTGAGTCTGATGGCCAGCGGGCTTGAGTATGACAACTTATGATTGAGTCGGAGTGTGAGTCAATCACTCTGATAGATGAAGACGAGACAGAGGGGGAACTGAGTAGGCGGATGGTTAGTTTGGGTTCGCCCCCGCCTGAATACGAGCAATAATCCCTGTCTTAGCAGATGGGAAACAACGAGAACCGAATCATCAGAATAGGAGCAAATAACATCGGCGCACATCCATCCGACCCAACACCATCCTTTGCACATGAGAAATGTGGTGCACATCCATCCGACCCCCACACTCACCATCCGATCAATAACAAATTCGGCGAGCGTCCATGCGACCCAGCCGTAAACATCCGATGCGACGTGTCTATTCGGTGCACATCCATCCACCCCACCCCTCGCCATCCCATACAACATTTACATGCCTGCTCTGATGCATACGATACAGCCCCCAACATCCGATGACAATTATCCTGGCGAGGGACACAACCATATGCAGTTGTGAATACAAGAATTGTGCCTGCTTCCTTCGGTGACACTCCCTAGCCGCATGCGACCGCAGCCGCTGGGGACTTCCGTGGGGCTCCCTATGGGGCCACGAGACGTTGGAGCGGTGTGCCGAAATGGCGGTGGAACCGCATACGAACGCAGCCACTGGGCCCTTCGGTGGAGCTCCCGATGGGGCTACGAAACGTGTGAGTGGTGTACCGAAATGGCAGTGGAACCACATGCGAACGCAGCCACTGGGTTCTTTGCCGGAGCTCCCTATGGGGCCACAAAACCTGTGAGGGGTGTGCAGAGATGGGGGTGGGATCGTATGCGAACGCAGCCATTGGGGCCTTCGTCGGAGCTCCCTATGGGGGCAACGAAACGTGTGAGGGGTGAACCGAAATGGAAGTGGAACTGCATGCGAACGCAGCCACTGGGGCCTTCGATGGAGCTCCCTATGCGGCCACGTAACGTGTGAGGGGTGTGCCGACATGGTCGTGGCGGACGCATGCGGGCGGTGGCACTGGGGCCTTCGGTGGAGCTCCTTATGGGGCCACAAAACGTGTGAGGGGTGTGCAGAGATGGGAGTGGAATCGTATGCGAACGCAGCCGCTGGGGCCTTCGGTGGAGCTCCCTATGGGGCACATGAGGGGTGTGCCGAAATTGTGGGTGGAACCGCATGCGAACGCAGCCACTGGGGCCTCCGATGAAGTTCCCTCTGGGGCCACGAGACGTGTGAGAGGAGTGCAGAAATTTTTGGTGGAACCGCATGCGAACGCGGCCATTGGGGCCTTCGTCGGAACTCCCTATGGGGGCCGCGAAACGTGTGAGGGGTGTACCGAAATGTAAGCGGAACTGCATGCGAACGCAGCCACTGGGCCTTCGATGAAGCTCCCTATGCGGCCACGTAACGTGTGAGGGGTGTGCCGACATGGTCGTGGCGGACGCATGCGGGCGGTGGCACTGGGACCTTCGGTGGAGCTCCCTATGGGGCCACGAAATGTGTGAGGGGTGTGCCGAAGAGGCAGGGATGGGAGGAGGGAGGGGAAGGAGGAGTAGGAGGAGGAGGAGGAGGAGGAGGAGGAGGGGAAGGAGGAGGAGGAGAGGATGAACGCGGGGCACTGTCTCTTCAAAACGAAGACCCAACACCACAGGATGGTTGGGGAAAATCCCGGTTTGGCGCACATTCATACGACTCACCCTTTACCATTCGATGCAAAACATTTTCGGTGCAATTCCATTCGACCCAACCCTCACCATCAGCAATCATATTCAGGCGAACATTCATTCGACCCAATCCGCATCCGCCTATACACTAAAATGCAGATCATGGCGCATCAACCCGACTCAACTCCCACCTTCTGATGAAAAAGAGCGGGCAATAATGAGAAGCGCCAGTTCGCCCATTGGGCTCGTAGGGATAAAAAAGGATGATGGCGACGACAACGCGGCGGGTGACGAGGATGACAGCGTGGATGACGGGGAGGGCAGCGAGAGGAGCAGGACAACGAGTAGGAAGACAAGCGCGATGACTAGGAGGAAGATATGGAAGAGGACACGTACGAGAAGGAGACGCGGAGGATGAGGATGAGGATGAGGATGATGATGATGATGATGAGGAGGAGGAGGAGCAGAAGGACGACCACGACGACGAAGGAGGACGGTAAGGAGCCCGAGGAAACGGACGTCGAAGAAGATGATCCTCGTGAGTATCTTGTCCTGCTACTGAGGTCTTTGATGGAGCTGCCTATGGGGCCACGAAGCTTTTGAGGGGTGTGCTGATGTCGACCAGAGTACGCATGCGGGCCCTGCCAATGGGGCCGTCGGTGGAGCTCCCCATGGGGCCACAAAACGTGCGAAGGGTGTGCCAAATCGCGAGCCGAAACAGTAATCATAATGATAATGCTGGTTACGAGTTACTATGAAGATTAATGGTGCTAAGAACGACGACGATGACGATGACGATGACGATGATGACGATGATGATGATGATGATGATGTTGATGATGATGATGATGACGATGATGATGATGATGACGAGGAGGAGGAGAGGAGGATTATGGTGAAGACGACGATGATGATGAGAAGGGTGCGGAGGAAGAGGAAGGCGAGGAGAACGAGGTGGGGCGCGGCGCTGCGAATTCGAAACGAGGACTCAACGCTCATGAGGGTTGGGAACCACCTCGCGGAACAAAGAAGCAAGACTGGAGCCCTGGACCCAATATGTCTGCGGCATTGTCCGAGCCGGATTGATCTGTGATGGCCCCAGGGCCCAGGGCCCGCAGCGGGGCGAAAGCGCCCAGGGTGAACAAATTGCATTGTGTTGCATCTTCGGGGGACCTCGCGCCCGATCGTCGTCTGTCCCGTCGCGCCGCGATCCGCGTCGAATTTGTACCGAATTCGCGCCGCGTGCGCAGACTTCGCGTCGAAGTCACGTCGAATGCGCGTCGTGCCTGCGCCGACTGCTCGGTGAATCAGCACTTACAGCGCGCTGGACATCAGAAAAGGCGGGAATTCGCAGGACAAGCGAGGCCACCCGAAGATGCAACAGACACTGTAACGTTGTAGATGCCATGACAATGGACACGCTAACAAACCGATCACTGAATCAAATATGTGTTTTGAATGTGTAAAACATGATCTAACAATGTTTCAAACATGTTTTTTTGACATGTGTAAAACATAGTTGAAACAACTTTTACACAGCTGGAAATTACTTGGCAGCATGCTCCCTCTCCATTAATCGACTTCCACAACTGTAACGCCCAGCTCTCAGGGAACCTGCCGCGCGACCCGCCCCAGACCCGCCAGAGGCCGCCGGCGGCCGGGCCACGACGGGCGCCGCCAGGGGTGGGGGGCACCTCTAGGGGGGCCACATGCGAGCCCCACCCCTACCCCCCACGATTTCTGAAGGGGAGGGTGGGGTTCACTTCGTGCGGGGGGTAGGGGGTAGGGGTAGCGGGTAGGGGTAGGGGGTATGGGGGCCAGCACACGACACCGGCCAGGTGCAAGCGGAGAAGCGTCATGAGCATCCTTCGTGGATCTGGCACGCGGAGCGCGCCAGGGAGGGGGCCCAGCGTGGATCAAAGAAATCCGTGCGGATCTCCGAAAGCTTACGCTTGGACGCTTTTGCTCCGCGTTTCCTGCCAGCCACTGCGGACCCTGTGGCTGCCAAGGAGGCTACCGGACCCCAGCGTTCGGTGGATATGAGCATGTCTTGGCCCCGTGGGCGGCCGAATACATCCGCACCCGCCGCCTGCCGAGGCCCCCGAAGATCGATCCCCGAGGCGGTGGCCGCGAGGGGGTGCAGGGGGCAGCAGAGCAGGGGTGCAGGGGGCAGCTGAGCAGGAGGCGACACGAGGGCAGCCCGAGGCGCCGTCCACGCGCGGAGCGCGCCGAAGGGCAAGAGCCCACGCGCGAAGACGTACTACCATCTCTCGCAGGAGACCCCCCTGTGGGGTTTCACGGTGGAAAGGAAAACAAACAACAGCAACAAAAACAATCGAATGGCATCAAACAAATCGGAGCTCCGCGCGGATTTCTTGGATCGGCGCTAGGTGTGAGCTCAGGGTGCGAAACTACCAGAGCAAGCTGCTGGGGTCATCGCCCGCAGGCTCCCCCCGCTGCTGCTGCATGTGGGACCAACTTGGGGGCCTGGCAGAGGGAGCGACGCTCCGTTTGGGCAGCACGCAGCCACAGTGGGCCCATCCCAACGGTTTGGCTGTCGGTGCTGCTGCTGCTGCTCCTCCGCCCCAGACCCCCGACGTCATGACTGTTTCATAACGTCGACCCTCAGAGATCTCGACCCTTTCCCCGGCCAACGGTTTTTTATCCTGAGTCGCTGTTTGGCGATCCCGAGGCCCGGCGAGGGCCTAGAAAAGCCGAAAATAACAAAAGAACCTCCCGTCGTGAAATTCTTCCTGACCCGAGGGGCTCAGGGCAACCAGAGTGCCCATCCAACCGGTTCGGCTGTTGGTGCTGGTGCTGCTTCTTCTCCACATCACGAGCGGCACACATGTCCGCATCCGCGCCCTGGCGGTCTGCATTATTCTGGGGCGCGAGCCCGCAAATACGCGGTCGCCAGGGCACGTTCCGCGCGGGGCATCCCCGACAGAAACGCCCCGCATCCGCGCCCTCGCAGTCTGCATTCTGGGGCGCGATCCCGCAGATGCGGGGTCGCCAAGGTACGCTCCGCGCGGGGCGTCCGCGACAGAAACGCCCCGCACGCGCCGGGCCGCGGCCAAAGGGGGGCCCGGCCCGCGAGGCCGCGGATACGCACTTGCTTTCCGCTCAGGACCACAGGCCTCGACAGCCCCCGGTCACCTCGCACGAGTCCGGAGGCCCGAGCCCGACCGCCCGCGCCGGGGCCTCGTCGCCGGCGGTGGGCAGCTTGGTGGCACGCCTGTCCGCTTCCACCTCGGGAGGGCCCCCCGCAGTCAAGACGAGGCCAGGACGAGTACAGTCATCGGCGTGACCTAAGGAACGATAAATCAGGAACGAATCCCCTTTTATCCCAAGGTATAACGCATAAGGAGCGATCAATAACAAATAATGCATAAGGAACTGTGAAGAACGCATGTAAGCCTAAGGAACGACCGAGCCCCTTTTGAAAAGTAAGTGTTCCTTATTCAAGCCGCTCACTGTACAGATTCGGGCGCGGATCAATCGAGAATCTCTGAGATCCAGGGGCTCTGGAGGATGTCTCGGGCGCCGCGGCCTTCTCAGAGCGTTCCGGCACGTGCCGACAGCGTTTCGGAACGCTCTGGAACGGACTTATCCTCGTCCTACCCCCGTCCGCCCTTCGCAGCCCGATCCTCCGGAGCGAAGAGAGCCGACACCACCACCAACATCGCATCGCCCAGGTGGTGCGGCCCACCGATTTCGGCGACCCGCTGGAGGCATCTTCCCCAGGGGGGTGGGGGGGGGGGCATCGTGGGCCTCTTCCCCTGACATTCCAGTTGTGCTAGAAATGGCCCTCGAGGCTGCTCAAAACCCCGAGTTGAGTCCAAATTCAGAGAAAGGTCCTGGTGCTGATCTGCTTGCCCTCCTGGGTGGTCTGGGTCGCTGAAGATGGCTGGTGGTGGTGGTGTCGCCCCATACCCCGTCCGAATCCTCCGATCCTTCGGCCCCCATCTGGCCGGCCCAAGCAGCCCGTGGGCCCCCCTGGGCGACCGCCCTGGCTGCCCACCGATCGACGGGCTGGCGATCCGATCGGGACGGAGCTGCCCCCCCAACTGCTCTCACACTTGCACCGAGGACTTGGGACTTCTCAAGCTGGCCATGCCTGAAGACGTGGCCGGGGCCGAGTTGTTCGCTTGGTGCTCGCTGGGTGGCCGCCCGTAGGCACCTCGTGGGCGCCCCCTTCGTTGCCATGGCTTCGCTCGGGAGCGGCCAAGAAGGGGGTGTCCAAGAGGGGGGGTGCAAATCATGACCGGCGGCATGTGCGCGGCCCAGCGGGGGGGGCCAGGGACGTAGTGAAACAAGAAGAGGCGCCATGAGATCTGGGGAAATATCATGGCCCACGCCATGATATCCACCCCCCTCAAGTCATCACCCCCCTCTTTTCCGCCCCCGATTCGCGTGGTGCCTGGTTGGTGGCTGGCCGTGGGCGCCCGGTGCGCTGGGCGTGGTGCCCGGATGGTGGCCCGTCGCGGGCGCCGAACGGGCGCCCCGTGAGCGGCCGCATACAGGGCAGTTTCTAATGCACAGGATCTTTTAAAATGTAGGAGTTGTAATACATGGTTCATGTATGAAAAAATGTATGCATGAACTCATCGTTGTTTCTAATACTAAATCCCTGCATTTGTAATACATGATCCGCACGCGGAGCATGTATTAAAAACGGCACTGTAGCTGAAACCACACAAATCGCACCACATCAACAGAAACTGTAGACCACAGAGTCTGCACCGGGCAGATCGTCCCCTTGCACCACCCTTTCCCATGCCACCACACAATCTCGATCGCATCCCTGTGATACGACCTTGAGAAAACGTGCAGCGTCGCAACAGACCCCGACTGGAGCCCCGGACCCTATCTTGCGGCGTCGCCTTGCAAGCCAGATCGCTCTGTGAGGGCCCCGGTGCCCGAAACCAGGCGAGACCGCCCGCTGTGAAAGAATTGCAGCGCCAGGATCTGAGGGATGCCTGTCGCGCTCAGCCCTCAGCGCCCGCACCAGGGTCGCCGCCGCGTAAGCGAGGCGCGCGCCTGCCAGGGATCCTGCGGCCCGAGCCACGGCCGACGCACGGGCGTCCGCGCATGAGGCCCCCGCCCAGCTGCGGGAGGTGCGCGGCGCCTTCTCGGCGTGCAGCTCCTCCTTCTCCCGCTCCTGCTCGCGCTGCCTGGGCACCCCTCGTCACACTTCGAGGACCGTCTTCGGAGTACAGGAGCACACCGTAGACGGATCCGTCCTTGCTCCGACCTTGTACTGCGACGGACGCAACGGCCGCTCTGTCTATAGGCGCATCATCCCCGAGTGTGCTATAGTTTGACGTAGCGAGCCGAGATAAAGCTCTTCTGGAAGCCTGTAAGCTGGGCCAACCAAGATCGTAAATCACCCCCCACGGTCGAGAGAGGAATGCGTGCAGAAGGATGCCTGGTGCTGGCCACCTGGAGCCAGAAGCCCGTGACTGTATCGCTGAGGTCGATCTGGCCACTTGCGCCGCGCTAGCGAGCGCATGGGGTGCAGGACTGCAGGCTGCCACGAACGAGCGCGTGCAGCACAGGATAAGATCACCGTTCACGAAACGGATGAAAAAGGATCACCGGCGATGCCGAAGTAACACGTCAACAATATCCCTGGTGCGACTGGGCTCGAAAGATCAGGGACGCACTGGCTCGGGTCGATGCCAAACTGGGTCAGTCAAGCTTTCCAGAATCCTGCGAGACCACGCGGGATCCTGGAAGATCATGCGCGCAAGCACGAGTCAAGCACCCCTGGATCCGCAGGATCCTGCAAGATCCGGCGCTCTGGCTGACCCCCGTTTGCATTGACCCCCGTCTCAAGCCTCCCGAAAGAATCGGGGACGCGTCCTCCGAACAATGCGCTCCTCTCCGGCAACAAAGTCGCCTCTGCTGGGGCACGCAGCGAGAAGGGGAGGGCGACGGCGTCTCTCAAGGTCTTCCGGCCGTTCTCGACTCTCCCAGCGGGGGCGGCCGTGGAATTCTTGGCCGCAAAAAATCCACCGACACTGAGGGCACGTTGGGAGTAACAATTCCACCCTCATCATAAGCACCCCCAAGGGAAGCCATTCAGCAAGCGCACCCAAGGGAGGCATCGAACAGGGCCGCTTAACAAACGCAAATTATCGTGGTCGGGATGGTTATCCCTCCCTTCAACACCAAAAGATGCAGATACCGCTTCTCCCCAGACCTGTCCTGGGGTGCGTTCTGACCAGGATTTCGAGACGAGTCCAGCCTTGGCGACGATGGCCTGCCAGGAAGTCCGCAAGGGCGGGAACCAGGCAAAGGGTAGCGGCACCAGTACCTTCCCCTCCTCTGCGACACGCCAGCGCAGCTGCTGAGAGCATGGAGGCCTTCCTGGCACTCCCACGAACCACTCTCCGATCGGCGACGGCGCGGCTCACCGCAGCGCACGAGCGTCGCGAAGCCACCCGAACGCCCATCTTGTGCTCATGGGCGTCACCGCGCCCGACCTGGTTGCCTGCTTGCCCCGCGCTCCTCCTTCGCGCTCCTCCCGCCCGTGTCCCGACTTGCGCCTGCACCTACTTCGGCTCGCTTGCGCACGCTGCTTTAGAAAACCTGCCTGCTGGCCTCCGTCTCAGGCGGGGCCGAGACGAGGACACATTCAAGGTGAGGATAAATGGAGAATTTCTGATCTGAGATCCGGCGGCTCTGGAGGATGTATCGGGCGCCGCGGCCTTCTCAGACCGTTCCGGAACGCTCTGAGAGCGTTCCGTTTCGCCCTGGAACGGATTCATCCTCGTCCTAGCCCTGTCCGATGCTGGCCCCCATTCGTCCCCCGAAGGTCTCCGGCGAGATGCTGGGCGTGGGCTTGCCCTCCTCGGGCCTCAGGGGCCTCGCCCTCCCGCCGCACCCAGCGTGGGCCCTCGTGTCTCCGCCACAGCATCACGCGAGGCCCCCTGTCTGGGGCAAGCGTGCCCAGGGGCGGCCGACGCCCTCGCAGGCGGAATTTCGTCGTGGGCGTGATGGAGTTGCGGCCGCCACGGACGAAGACGTCATACTGTCTGTTTGTCGACCCCCCCCCAAATCCTCGTCACCCTCCCTGTCGTCCAAACGAACAACGCACCCGGCATAAAAATCAAATTTCGGAGGTCCGCACGGAATTCTGCACACAACGTGACCCAGCACAACAATGTTTACGCCGCGCCGCCCGGCATGCACCATGTAACATACCTCGAAGGAGAGGGGAGGAATAATCGCACGATGCGGCAAGGAGGATAGGGAACGCAAACACCTGGAGGATGAAGAGAGAAAGAGAGAGCCTGTGCCGTGCGGAGCGCAGTGGGGGCAAAGAGGGAAAGGATGTGCCCAACCAATTCACAAGGTCGCGACCTCGACACAACATGATTTCATACGGAAGCTGAGCGTAAGCGGCAGGCTATCTGGGCGGCTGGAATCTGCCGGTAAAAACTGAGCGGAGTGACCTCAGGTCCACGAAAGACGTCACAACTGAATATAGCCCGTCTTGGGGACGCCTCGGAAGTCTCCTGGTCCGTGTTGAAGGCCCTCGCGGCTAGCCGAAAATTCCAAAACATTGACAACAACACAAGCTTGTTGTGTTTGGTATTATTGTTGGTGTTGTTTATGTTGTTGTTGATGTTGTGTTTGTTGCTGAGTTCTCACTATTGAAGAATAATTGATCTTGATCCCTCTCTGGTGACCATTGTGTTTTTTCAATCGAGTGCTTCCTCTGGGAATCGCAACCGGATTTTTCCATCAAGGGAAATCACAAAACTCAAACTGACTTGTTGGCCCCTAGATTACACCAGCAACAACAACAACGGGTCCCGCCTGAAACTTCCCCACAGTTTAAGGAGGACCCCGCTTCCGCCTGAGACTTCCTCGCATCTGACTCAGGAATCGCGATCTCACTTGGGACTTCTTTCGCTTTATTGCGGGATCGCTCTGTCCGCGCTCGGGGGTCACGCTCTCGCTGGAGACTCGCTTGCACTTTACTACAGAATCGCGCCCTTGCGTTGGAACTCGGGGAAATCTATTCACGCGCCGCGATCCCGACGCTCAGGGACCCAGGGGTCGCGCTCTCGCTTAGGATTCCCTCACAGCTTATTTAGGACTCGGGATCGCGCTGCCCTTCCTGGCCCCGTTGCAGCCATTCGTGGCCCCCTCGCTGCCCGTCGTGGCCCCGTTGAATCTCTCTGCGGCCCCCTCGCTGCCCGTCGTGGCCCCGTTGCAGCTCTTCGTGGTCCCCGCGCTGCCCTTCGTGGCCCCGTTGGGTCCCTTCGTGGCCCCCTCGCTGCCCGTCGTGGCCCCGTTGCGGCCCTTCGTGGCCCCTTCGCTGCCTTTCGTGGCCCCGTTGCAACCCTTCGTGGCCCCCTCGCTGCCCATCGTGGCCCCGTTGCGGTCCTTCGTGGCCCCCTCGGTGCCTGTCGCGGTCCCGTTGCACACCTTCGTGGCCCCCTCGCTGCCCTCCATGGCCCCGTTGGAGCCCTTCGTGGCCCCCTCGTTACCCTTTCTATGGCCCCATATACGCTTGCCCTTCGTGGCCCCCTCTTGTTCGCGCCCGCTGTGGCCCCATATGCATGCGCGTCGTGACCCCGCTGTCGCCCTTCGCGGCCCCCTGGCTACCCTTCGTGGCCCCGTTGCTGCCCTCAGTGGCCCCGTCCTTGCCCTCTGCGGCCGGATTCAATATACGCGTGCCCTTCGTGGCCCCCGCTCTTTCGCGCCCGCCCTGGCCCCATATGCATGCGCTTCGTGTCCCCGCCGTCGCCCTTCGTGGCCCCGTCGCTGCCTTGCGTGGTTTCGTTGCCACCTTCAGTGGCCCCGTCGCTGTCCTCTGTGGCCCCGCATTATCTGCCCTTCGCGCCCCCCGCTCGTTCGCGCCCTTCGTGGCCCCATGCGCGTGCCCTTCGTGGCCCCGCTGTCGCCCTTCGTGGCCCCCATTACTGCCCTTCGTGGCCCCGCTGTCGCTCTCGCTCTCTCTCTCTCTCGCTTTCGCTTTCGCTCGTCGTCGTCGTCGTCGCCATCGTCGTCGTCGTCGTCGTCGTTGTCGTGGTCGGTCCCCTGCCCGTCCCTCTTAGCGCCGGGCTGCCGCCGATCAGCGCTGCCGCTGGCCAGGCCGACGGTCCGTTGCCGCCCCGCCGCTTGCCGGGGCCCGGCCCGCAAGGATGACAAAAAAAATATACTTACCCCCCCAAAAGGGGTGCGATCGAAGACGACGGGGGCGGGTATCGAGGGTTTGGGAAATACACGTTGCCGGACACCCGAGCATATACAAACTAGCAGTCTTAACATGAGTGTGGTTGTTGGTGTTGTTGGTTGGTTGGTTGGTTGGTTGGTTGGTTGGTTGGTTGGTCTGTTGGTTGGTTGGTTGGTTGGTTGGTTGGTTGGTTGGTTGGTTGGTTGTTGAACTCTCATTTCTAAGAATGACCGTTGTTGGTCCCACCCCCGCGCGGTAACTATTGCACGTTTCAGTTGAAGTGCTTCTCCCGGGCCTCGAACCCTGTTTTCTACAAGGGGAAATGAAGTGTTACCAAACGGGGCTCCTGACCACCGAGTTACAACAAGAACAACTTCCGCCTGATACTTCCTCACAAATAAATCGAGCATTGCCCTTTCGCGCAGGAATGCCTGACGATGTCTACCGGAATCGCGCTCTCGCGGGGGACTTCCTCACAAGTTATTCAAACGCCACGCCCTCGACACTCAGGAATCACGCTCTGGTTGTGGATTTCGTAACGAGTCATTTCAGAATCGCGCTATCGCTCGAGACTTCCTCGATATTCATCCAAGACGCACGCTTCAGCAACCCGCTTGTTCGACCTGGCCGCCTGGGTCCGCCTTCCCGACCGCCCGGTCGGGACTACCTGCCCGATCTGCCCATCTGGTTCTGCCACCAGTTTTGTGCTCCTGGCCCCCCTCCTGCTACTCTCTCTCGTGCTCTACCCTCCTCCCTGCCCCTTTTCCCTTCCTTCCATTCGTCCTCTCTTCCCCTGTCTTAGGGGCTGCACGAAATACACGTTGCAGGTAAGAAATGTATTCGCCCAAGTGGGGCACGATGGAACACGAAGAGGGCGGGTACTGAGGGTTTGGGATGTACGTCTTGAACGGCACGCGAGCAGATAAGAGCGAGCTGTCTAAAAAAGTGACGGTGCTGCTGCTGCGGCGGTTGCTCTTGTTGATGATGTTGTTGCTGCTGGTGCTGGTAATGTTGTTGACATTGTTGCTGCTGGTGTCGATGTGGTTGTTGTTGGTGGTGTTGCGGTTATTGTTGTTGGTGTCGTTGTTGCTGCTGTTGCTGCTGTATATGTTGTTGTTGTTGTGGTTGTTGTTGTTTTGGTTGCTGCTGTTTGCGTGAGATCGCTGTATATGTTGTTCTGGCTTGCGGGCGTCCAAACGGCTCAAGACAACACGAAGAGATCCCCGAGCATGGCCCACACATGGAAGCTCGAACTGATATTCGGAGCCCCCTTACGCCGAGATCGCACGCAGGACCGCCGCAGGCCCTCAATATGCTTTCAGAGCCCCCACGAGGCCCCCAGAGGCCATCCACAATGTCTCATGTTACCTCCAAGAGGCCACCAACATGCTTCCCAAGAGACTTCAAGAGGCCCCCCCTCGAAGGCGAATGCACGTGTGCCTGCGCGCGCGCGCGTGTGTGTGTGTGTGTGTGTGTGTATGTGTGTGTGTTTTTGTGTGTGTGTGTGTTTGTGTGCGTGTGTGAGAGAGGGAGGTGGAGAGAAATGGAGAGAGAGCGAGAGAGAAGGGGGGGGCACCGAGCAATCATCACTCTGCACTGGTTCTTGACTGGGGCGGGGGGGGGCATCCTGCCTGCTACGCGCAGGCCCATTATCCCTGTCAGAGAAAAAAACAAGATATCCACATGTTCTGGCCAGATCTGGACCACGCGCGGGCGCCCCGCGATCACCTTACAGTGCAAGTTGTCAGGGGTGGCTTCTGTGGCCTCGCACGCGCGGCGCACCTCGCGGACGTCGCGCACCTGGATAGTGCCTGGGGTGGTTCCCGCTGATCGCCGATGGCGGCTCCTGCCCATGCTGAAACTCGGATTCTACTGATGGAGTATGGTGGCGGAGGGGAGTGAGCGAGACGGGCGCCCTTCGGGGGGCGGGGGGGGGGGCAGCTTGACTTCTCCCCTCTGACCCCTCTCCCTGGGTCTCAAAGGACTTCGCCGCGGGTGTTTGGAGCGTCCAAGATGGCTTCAGATAGCACAAGACAGCCCAATTATTCAATACGGTTCAAAAAAGCTTCCAACATGCTTCCAATACGGTCTCAAGACGGTCCCAAGTGGCCGTGGAGCCTCCCGAGGACGTCTCCGACAGAACCATTCCAAAACCTGAAAGATACACATGATCTATGTATTCCCGGTGCGTCGCTTCCGATCGGCTGTGCAGGCCTCAAGACGACTCCAACATAGCCCAAGAGAGCCACAACACGTTCCGACTGGGGGGCTGTCATACGCACCGCACTCTTTGTTCCGATTGCCCCCAGGATGGTCCCAAGAGGGCCCCCAGTGCCCCGAAGAGGGCCCCAAAAGAAACCCAAGTGAATCCAAAATGGCCCCACGAGGGCCCCAAAAAGCTGCCAAAAGGCTCCCATATCGAAAGGTACGATAGGGCCTTTATTGGGACTCCAGGGCGCGGCCTTGCAGATCCAGGTCTTCGGTTCGACGGCTGCCCCACCTCTCTGTCCCATTGCCTGCTCCTGTACTTTCTTGATCTAGGAAACTCGCCTGGGCATCGTTTCTGGATGGGCCCGTGGGGACCCGCTAAGCGCCAAGAATTCTAATGCCTCGCCCCACGAACGAGTCGCCCACACAGCTCGGGGAAACACTCACCCAAGTCGATGCAAACGCGGGTCAGTCGGGCGTGGCAGGATGCTGCAATATCGCGCAGGATCCTGCGGGATTCTGCACACCTGCCCAGGTCAGTCCACCCCTGGCTCTGCAAGATCATGCCAGATCCGATGCTCTGGCTGACCCCGCTTCTGAGAGGCAACGTCAGGGGGGGACTGGCATAGAAGGGGATGACCTGGAATCGACGATACATCGTCGATAGATCAGCGATGCGATGGGCCCCCGATCGTGAAACCGCACCTTCCCAGGAGGGCTGGGGCTATCGGGCCGCGATCGGCGATCCATGGGCGATTGGGGGTCGATGCACCCCCCCCCTTGCCTATCCCCCCCCCCCCTATCGTTGGCCCTGAGCTTGTAGGGGGAAAACAAACCTACCTCGCTTTTGACCACCCTCGCTTCCAAGAGATACCAAACGATGCCGAACTACGGCATGCGCTGGTCAGGCCGCTTGACGAGGAGGCGCGTGGTATGGCTTGGTTTTGCCTGGAAGCGAAAGCGGGGTAGGAAATTCACGCTCTGAGTCCCAGGGCTCCCGAACCGCCCCTCCTCGCCCGCTTCCGGCGACCCACGCGGGCGTCCGGGTCGGGCAGCGCAGCTTCCAGGTCGGTCTTCAGGAAGGCAGCCTTCGACAAGCCCGCCATCGCGCCGCGCCCCGGCGCGTCGGGAGGAGTGAGGGACCCGAGCCTGCGACGTGTTGAGCAAGTGAGCGTGTTCGAATTCGCCGTTTCAAAAGGTGGAAAGGGCCCGGGATGGAGAGCAACCCCTCGGGAGGGGGTCACGATTCCGGGGGGAGAAGAACAAGACAGAGGCAGTGGGAGAGGCAGGAGGCATGGCATGGCCAGTCGGAGAGGAACCCATACATCCAGCAACTCGGCATTTTCGAGAAACGCCCCTTCCCCCCCCCCGGGATACCCAGCGTCTGCCGGAAGAGGGCACGCAGTTTCAATACACCAGCTGATGGCCTCAGGAAGCACCATCAACAGAAACCGCGAACGACGCCCAGAGACCACGAGCCACGGCCAGAGACCACGAGCCACGACCAGAGACAGCTCCCAGAGACCGCGAGCAACGTCCAGCGACAACGACCAGGAGGCCAGGAGCCACGATCAGAGGCCACGACCAGACCACGAGCGTCCGATTCTGGGACCGCGCGGGCCGCCCACCAGCCTCAGAAGCCTCGGCCTATAGTTGTGGATGCCATGACAATGGACACTCTAACAATCCTATCATTGGATCTAAGATGTGTTTACAAAGATCTTTCAAACATGTCTGGTACACCTTTAAAACATGTTTGAAACATCTATGGAAAATATTTGGCAGCATGCTTCCTCTCCGCTGGTCGACTTCCACAAGCCAATAGCACGGTTACAGACAAGCTGTTCAGGGAAAGATCGAGGCGGCCAGCGGCTCGACGCTCTGGGGCCACTGGAAGCTGCCTTCGGGCCCGCGGACCATTCACAGAACGAACTGGGACGCAAGGCTGGCCTCGGGGAATGGGGGTCGGACGATGTCGGGGGGCCCCGTGGCCGAAGCGCATCACGCAAGCCGAAGCGCCGGACGTCTGTGCCCGGGCCTCGCCACCGCCACCCCTTCTGCGGGTCCCTGGCTTCGCCTCCCCGGCCATCTCTCGGTGGCCCCGGGGCCTGGAACCCGCCTCCAGGGGCCTACAGTGGCCCACAGGAAGCTGCAGTCTCGAGCTCTGCTTGAGCCGCGAGATGTCCGCACGACTAGTACGAACCCCCCAGACACATCCCGGGGACAGTTCTGGCCAGTCATTCGTGCTGCGTTCAGCCGTGGAGACGAAATACCCAAGGAGACGTCGACGACGACGACGAAGACAGAACTGACAACGACGTAGGCGAAATCCTGGGTTCGGAAGGCCATGATCGACCTTTGGGACCTGTCCAGGAAATGGCGAGGCGGATCCACCCGTTAGGAGGAGGAGACCCACAGAGGCCACCACAAGCGCGAACAACGCGGAACCTCGAACCTCCCAGACTCTCGCGTCGCGGAGCCTCGAACCTCCCAGAGCAAATGCTCAGCCCCATTTGGGGCCCTGGCCCGGCCCCGGAACCGTCAACCATCGGGGATTACCAAAAATCTTTCCAGGAGAGGGTGCCCCCGGGGCCAGGGCCCCTCGCAAAGCAACTCGAACTGCGCAAGGGCTCAGAGGGCCCCAGAGCACAAAATGCGAGGCTGCTTCTGCAATACACGCCTGAGGTTGCTGAGGGCTGTGCGAGCAGTTGCAATTCCCACTCCAGGGAAGACTAGGCACTTGCATCCAAATGTGTCGAGTGGCCCCCGATCCTCCTAGGCACCACAGACTCCTCGGCCCTGAACACTACCACAGCGGAAGGGGGAGCAGTCCTAGACAATGGACCATGATTCAAGAGAACACTCGTTCCTAGATTTGCACGGCGGGGTCCGTCGATTCAGCCCCCCTCGGGTCACAATCTTCAGAACCTCGCTCCTCAAAGTTCGCAAAGATAAAAAATAAGTCTCTGATCATCAAATCACATCAGGGACCGTCACACGACTTTTAAATGCGTCAGAATGGTAATCTCACCCTCGATTCAAACTCAAATCCCACAGTAAGATTCGATCCTCGGTGACTCACGTTGAGCGTATCTCTGCGGCCGACGGCAGGACAGAAGCGTTTGGGGGCCCTGTAACAATACGTGCTCACATGGAGCCCACGCTCAAAGATCCCAGGCAGGGACGAGGAGTGCGACATCACGTGCCAGTTCAACGTGGAACTGGACTGTGTGGAAGACCTGGGGCACGCCTGGCGCCCTTGGGGGACACCTCGGCTCAGAACCACGTCTGGCAACACAAACAAACGAATCCTCACGATGAAAAGCCCGTCGAAATCTGGGGACCCATATTACGAACAAAATCGCGACGACAGAACTTCGGCTGAACCACGGCAGCGACGACGACAGGCGTGGCAGACCCACACGTGAAGACCTAGAGCCCTGGGAGGCCCCTGACAAAGGCGAAACCGCTGGAGCGGGGCGGATCCACCCGTGAAGACGAGGGGGAGCCATCTGTTCTGGGCGTTGCAGAGACAGTGGCGGCAAGTCTGTCGGTGCGTGTGTGTATGTGTGTATCAGGAGGGGGAAATACATACAGACACACAAAACTACGAGTTCGGAAAACATGTTCTAAAACACTATATGGAAAGTAGAAAGGAAGTTGGCAAGTCAACCACAACTGTAAAGTATGTAGAGATCATGGGTTGTATAGATTTGCGCGTGTCTCCCTGGAGAGCCCCCTATGAGGCTCCACCCATCGCTGAAGACCGTGGAGCCCCGAAACCTCGTCGACGAAGGCGGCAGCGTCGACGAGCGGCGCGGAGGAGCGGCCGCAGCTCATCCAAAAACGCCCCGACCCTCAGGCCGCCCCCCCCGGACCCCACCCCTCTTTGGGTGCGTGCCGCCCCGCGGGACAACGACGACGACGACGAGGATGACGACGGAAGGGGGAGGAGGAGTAGGGGTAACGCCAGGGGGGGGACCATCTCGAGGGGGGTGGCATCGACCTGGGTCGGCGATACATCGCCAGCAGATCGGCGCTAGGCCCCCGATAGCAAGTCCGAACCTTCCTGGGCAGGGCGGGGCATGGGGCCCCCATCGGCGATGGGTGGGCGCTTGGGGGTTGATGCACCCTCCCCTACGCCCATCCACCCCCCTGACATTGCACCTGACGACGAAGGAGGACCAGTGACCAGTGTAAACCCAAGAAATATCAACGATGTTGGAGTAAACACTCCTTTCAAACTCCCTCTTCATAGATCATATGCCCCTACACAAATTCATTTCCACTCAGGGAACTGCCTCGTTAGAAGACAACCGTTTGAGTACCATGAAGCATGCCAACACATCGCTCTCGGAATTCCAACGCCACGGATCAACCTGAATGTTGCGTCTTGACGATCATGAATCGTGCCAGGACGCAATCCTGGGACTTCAACACCGCGACACCATCATAATCTGGAATCCTTCCAAAACACCACTTCTGGTACACTGATCATTGGAATCTGCGAAAACCTTGCAAGGTTACAAACGAATGTGCGCGGAGCTGAGGCGAGAATCACATTTTGAAAAGAAACCGCCCTCAATCTGCGAAGCTCTTGCAATGTTTTAAAACGAATGTGCGCGGCGCTAAGGCGAGAACAACATTTTAAAACGACTCGCCCTCATTCCGTGAAACTCTGCAGTTGTCTAAAAGCGAATGTGCGTGGCGCTAAGGCGAGAGTCACAATTTGAAAACGACGCGCCCTCCATCTGTGAAGCTGTTGCCAACGTTTGAGCATCAGTGTCATACATGGTGGAGAAGTCTCAGGCGAAACGCCCGGCCCGCCCTAAAAAACTGGTCTTGGGGTGCGATCGGGAAAATTTATTCATAAGGAAAAGGACTGAAGGAGGAGGGGGAGCAGGAGGAGGAGGAAAGGGAGGAGGAGGAGGAGGAGAAGGAGGAGGAGGAGGAGGAGGAGGAGGAGGGGGAGGGGGAGGAGGAGGAGGAGGACGAGGAAAGGGAGGAAAGGGAGGAAGGCGGTTTGGGGGGAAAATCGTATCCCCCTCACACGAATGGGCGACGACCTCAGCCCGCTAGCCGCGCCGCGGTCAAGCGGGTGCCAACAGCCATGGCTTGGTCGGGGCACGGCGCGCCCGTCTGGTGCGCGAAGCCCTGCTGCGATGTGTGCGATGACGCTCTGACCAAACCAGTCCGAGAGAGCACGCCATGCACGTGAAGCTCAACAGCTGGCCGTCCGGATGCTGCTCGATTCCTCACTGCAGCGGCAAGCGAGGTACACTCCCAGCTCGCATCGTGGGAAGGATGGTGGCAACGGCAGTGCGGCAGAACTTGGGAACACATGCCGCGGAACGCCGTCCACGTTTATGCCGACGATGGCGCCGGGCTACCGGAGCGCGCCGGACCTGGGCACGTTCGAGGCGGAGGTGAGCACGTACGAGGCGGAGGTGAGCACCTACGAGGCGGAGGCGTGCGCCTGCGAGAAACAGGAGGGCACCTGCGAGGCGAAGGCCTCACGGGGCGGAGGTGGGCGAATACGAGGTGAAGCTGCGCGCGTGCGAGGCGGAAGGGTTCCACGCGTGGCGGAGGCGAGCACCTGCGAGGCGGAGGTGAGCACGTGCTCGGCGAAGGTGGGAACCGACGAGGCGTAGGAGAGCACCTGCGGGGCGCAGGTGACCCCACGCACGAGGCGGGGGCGAGCGCATACGAGGCGGAGCAGAGCACCCACGAGGCGGAGGCACGCGCCTGCGAGGCGCTGGGTAGCACCTGCGAGGTAGAGGTGAGTACCTGCGGGGCGGATGTGAGCACGTGCTCGGCGGAGGTGAGCACCTGCGGGGCGGAGGTGTGCACGTGCTCGGCGGAGGTGGGTACCTGCGGGGCGGAGGTGAGCACGTACACGGCGGAGGTGAGTACCTGCAGGGCGGAGGTGAGCACACACGAGGCGGAGGCGAGCAGGCACGAGGCGGAGGTGAGCACGCGCGAGACGCAGGTGAGCACCCACCAGGCGGAAAGGCGAGGTGGAGGTAAGCACGTACATGGCGGAGGTGAGCACCTAGTGGGCGGGGGATGCCACCCACGCGGCGGGGAGCGCGCGCGAGATGTAGTTGGGCATCTACGAGACGGAGAAGGCTCTACGCTACCGACGCCCATCCCCTTGAGATCCGGATGTCATCAGGAATGCCAAAGAGAATGGGGAACAGTCTATTAGCTCGTTGGAAAAGGACCGATGAGGAGATTCGGGACGCCGACGACGACGACGACCTGAAGAAGGCTACGTGAGGCTATTGTGTGGCACTCGAAAGCCATCGGGCTTGCGCGCAATCGAGCAGGCGCAATGCCGTCTGATAGTCTACGCGGACTACCAAGGAGGACCGAGCCTGGCCTGACCCGAGGGGGAACTGGACTGCCCCGAAGAGCTCAACATTTGGACCCCCGGATAGTCGGGCGCATTCGGCGCAAAGAGGCGTCGACACAGACGAGTACGACGACACCGATCGGTGGTGGACACACCTCCCTTTAGTAAACCACCCTTTAATGGAAACGGCCTAAGACCAAAACCGACGGATCTGGACCTGCAAAAAAAAGGCCGCGACGCTCTCCCGCGAGCCGAAAACGGCCAATCCGCTAATCGACGCGTCAGGGTAGGAGGTCTATCAACCTCCGAATCGAGGAGGGGGAGAGGACGACGAACAAACCCAGGAGCACAGCTTCAGCACCGACACCAGGCGAGCATACCAGCAGCCTGGACTAGCTCAGCGACGCGTACGGCTGATCTCCCGTATACTTACGTCTTTGCGTTTCGACCGCCACTCGACCGTCCTCGGAAGACAGGGACTCGAGAACATGGTGCACGTGCCGCGGGACGCGGAGGACGTGCAGAAACGGTCGAACGCGCCGCAAGACGGGGAGTACAGGGAGGAGCGCTACGTCCAGGAGATCGCGCGGCAAGCGAGCCCTCAAGCCGTATTCTTCCCCCCCTGCGCGATGATCACGACCACCCCAAGATCCTACCAGCGTCGTCACCCCGGGGCAAGACGTACAAGCAATGACCGCGATACCTCTCTGCTTGCCGTGCCTCCTGCTTGTTTCTCTACCGATTCGACAATTCTGGGCCCGACCGATTCGGCGGCAACCACCGCCTGCCACCGCCCGTGCATACGCACGGCGGCGAGGCCCCCCCCCCACCACAACTCCAGAGGCAGGAAAGGGGTGTGGCATAAAAGGGGTATGGTGCCAATGCTGAGTCTGGCGATGCCATCTATCGTAGATATCATCTCGATTTCCAGAACATGCCATGCCCCTCTCCGACCTCCAGAACAATCGGCCACACGCAAGAGCGACCCTGGGTAAGAGTGACCTTTGGTGCGCGGCTTCCAGGGGGGCCGCGGGGGTGTCAAACACAAGCGCGCAAGACGCTACTAAGAGCCGCTACTATCGCATTGCGCCCGGAGATCGGGAGACCCCCATGGGCCCGCACCAAAGGTCACTCCGGCGAAAGGTCACACTTACGTGTAGTCGAAACAATCTCCTGTGATCCACTTATATACTGACATACTTCGCAACGCCAGTCCCCTGATCTCCGAGTCGGTCTCGTGCTGGGGCCTGCCCTAGGAGGCCCGCTCGCAGGTTGTAAGGGTATCGCGCCGTAGCATCGCTGGCGCGCGCGGAGTGTGCCGCAACGCTGATCGAGAGCTTATGCTGAGCATAAGCCGCGCTCACCTGAGTAGGGATCCCTCTCGCACAGGTGGTCCAGTCCAGTCCAGTCCTCCTCTGGAAAGCGCATGGGCGCCGGCGCCCGTACCTTCGCACGGCGGCGAGCCCCCCACCCACACAACCTCCTCCTCTGGAGAGCGCATGGGCGCCGGGCCTGGCTCGCGGGACGGGGGAATCGCCTCGCAGCGCTGCGGGAAGGAGAGAGAGAGAGAGAGAGGAGAGAAAGAGAGAGAGAGAGAGAGGGAGGATGAGGAGGATGAGGGAGGAGGAGGGATGGAGGATGAGGATGAAGGAGGCGGGGGAGGAAGAGGAGGAACGGGAGGAGGAGTAGGAGGAGGAGGCGGAGGAGGAGGAAAAAGAGGCGGAGAAGGAGGAGGAAGAGGAGGAGGAGGAAGGAGGAGGAGGAGGAGGAGGAAGAAAGAGGAAAGGGAGGGAGGAAGGAGGAGGGCGGCCGCCCCAGCGGAAGCGCGGTAGCCGCGGCGGGGGGGGGCGGGCACGGCTTACGTGCCCGCGGGGGGCTTCTCGGGCCTGCGTGCCTGCCAGGAGAGGAGGGGGGCGGAGGTGCCCGGCGGCGATGGCTGTTGGGCAAGTCTCAGCGTCATGGCTGCAGCGCTCCAGTGGAGCATCGCGGCAACAGAGAGGAATGCGCCGACGCAGGCCTGTGGTAACACATGAAGGCTGCTGCCAGTGCGGACGCAAGAGATGCAGGAGGAAGTGGTAAAAGACTGGGTGCCCATGAGAGGCGCACCGGCGGCGATCCCTCCTCCTCCTCCCCTTCCTCCCCAGACCACCTCGGGCCATGACGGCAGGTTTTTCGCTGCTTCTGGCCTCTGGGGGCCCTCGTTGGGCCTCAGGACAAGTAAGAAACGACTCAGGATAAGAAACGGTCACAGGGAATGGGTCGATACCTCCGGGGGTCGACGTCATAAAAAAATCATGACGTCGGGGATCTGGGTCCCCTGGCCCTAATCCCTCGTCGTCTCTCGTCCTCCTCTTCCCTCCCCAGGGGCTTCTCGGGCATGCGTGCCTGCCCAGAGGGGAGGAGGCGAACGTGCTGGGCAGCGATACTCGACCGCCCTCTTCGCCCCCCGACGAGCCAGACTCTGGAGCCACTGATTTCGGCTTGGATCTTTCATCACCCGATAGCCTGGCTTAGGCCCGGAACACACCCGCCTACCATGTCCTCCTCCTCCTCCTCCTCCTCCTCCTCCTCCTCCTCCTCCTCCACCACCTCATCCCTGCCCCATCCACCCCTCTTCAACATCGTTCCCCTGCATAGACCTGACAAGGGGCGCATACATACATACAGAAGCCATGCGCCAGCCCTAGGCATGGCGCTTGGGCACAACTGCCGCCACAGAGCCGGGTTTCCGACAGGACGTGCGCGGCCAGTCGATTGTGAAACGCATGCGTAACGACAGAGCGCCCGACTGTGAAGCAGAAAAGCAGGTCGCATCACGACTGTGAAGCAGAAGACGAGGATGGAGAGGGAGAACAGGACAAGGACGGGGGGGGATTGACGGATCGGGCCGGATCCGGCCGTGGCGCCCGGGGGTCCCAGAATCCCACCCCCCTCCAGAGACCCGCACACTCTGGGCGAGCATCAACCCTCGCCCCCCCTTCTCCTTCTCATCCCCCGCCTGTGCAGGACCCCCCGGCCCCGACGCCGTGACTGCTGCCGAGCGCAGGCCCCTGGAGGTCTCGACCCAGCCCTCGCGACCAACACTTCCCGGCGGCAGGCTCAAGGGAAAGGAGAGGGGGCGGGCCTTCTCGCAAGGCTCGGAAGGCCTACGGACTTTTCTGAGACAGGTTCGAAGCCTTCCCCGGAGGCACGGACACACAAAGGACACTTCATAGCAGGCGCGAGGGCTTCTGAGGAGCCCCGGGCGCCCCCTCTCGCTTCCACCCCGGGCGCGCCGCCGCACTCTTCACCCCGACCCAGTGGGGCCCCGGGGAGGCCGCCCAAAACTGCGGGGGCCACCCCGTGAGAAAAGGCCCGGGCCCGCGGTGCTCTCCTGGGGCGCGCCCTGGCTGGAACCTCGGGGCGTATACCTCCGGGCGTGGCGCCGAAGAGCCTCGCGGAGGCCGGGAGGCCAGGAACGATCAGAGAATCCCTGCGATCCGACGCTGCGGAAGAGCGACATCCGGCAATCTGATCCAGAGAACTACCAGTTCAGAAGTCTGGGCCAGCTCCCCAGAATATTCTTAAAACAAGCATGGCCCCAATTCTGGTGTTCAAGAAACTGGGCCAGCTTTCGGGCAAGTTGGTTGAGACACGCTGGTCCAGCTGTTCGGGAGGATGTTTCTGCATCAGAACATGACCCGAGTCATTTCCTGAGTCTCAAGCTCCAAAAAACAGGGCGATCACGTCAGTGCGAAACACTTGCAACGCCCAGATCTCAGGGACAAGAGGGGCCGAGAGCGAAACAACAACTCACGCGCTCGTTCTGGGGACGGCCATGGAGCCGACGGGTCCAGTCATACGTCGGTGATGCGTCTAGCATCCATCAAAATGAGTCGAATCTTGAGCCGAACTCGAGTCAATCTAGCGGCGAACTCGAGTCGATCTAGCGTCGAACTGTAGTCGAACAGATCTGTCAGGTGGGCCCCAGGAAGGTCCCCCAAAACGAGCATCTGAAGAAACCCCCGCTCCTCCAGCCTGAGGCCCGACGTTGCGAGAAAACGCAGCATCGCGAAACATCTCCGTCGGAGCTCCCGACTCCATCTTTCCGCGACAACGTTCGACCCGGAATGATCTGTATGATGGCCCGGGGCCCGAAGCCAGGCGAACACGCCGGCGTGAACACATTGCCACGCCCGGATCTCAGGGCACCTCGCTGCGCCAGCCCTCGCAGGCGACCTTCGCAGGGCGGCGGCCGCGGCAACATTTTTTGGTGGGGGGGGGGGGCACTCGCCGGCGCTCGCGGCGCACGAGCCCTCCGAGGCCTCGCCCCCCTCGGCCGCCGCGTCTCCCGGCTGCAGGGCCCGCGACAGCTCCGCCCAGCCCTGCGCCCGCGCCACCTCGGGGCAGCAGCGGGGAGCGGCGGCGAGCCCAGGAGGGAAGAAGTGAGAGGGGGGCTCCTCCTCCTCCTCCTCCTCCTCCTCCTCCTCCTCTTCTTCTTCTTCTTCTTCTTCTTATTATTATTATTAGTATTAGTGTCACTAGTATTCTTAGTTTTCTTCTTCTCAGTCTTCTTCTTCTTCGTCTTCGTCTTCGTCTTCCTCTTCCTCTTCCTCCTCCTCCTCCTCCTCCTCCTCCTCCTCCTCTTCCCCCTCCTCCTCCTCCTCCCCCTCCCCCTCCTCCTCCTCCTCCTGCCCCTTCTCCTCCTCCTCCGCTTAGTGATCACTCATGCGTTCTCGCCGAGTCTCGGCGATTTTCCAGCCTCGGGATACGTTCCAGCGCCAGCGCCCCGCCGAGACCGCTCCAGGGGTGCCAAGAACGTCCCGAACGGCCACGGGAGAGCCGAGTCACGACCCAACGAAGCCACCAGGCGTCCCAGAGCGGGCGGGCCTTCTGCGGAATCTCAGAATGCCTCCGGCCTTCTGAGAAATCTTCGAGGCCTATTCCGAAGACAGAGAGGCGGCCTCTCAAAGGCCCGAGGGCTTCTGAGAGGCCCCGAAGCCTTCTGAGAAGGCCTGCCCCTCTTCACTTCCCTGAGGTCGGGCATGTCCCCCTACAGGCTGATCTTCGACGAAGAATCCAACATATTCAAAAATACTCAGACATGATCAACACATACTAGAAAAATCGTCCCCCAGGCTATTTTGACTATGTTTGAACATTCCCCCTGTAGAGGGACAGGCTCGCCTGCACACTTCCCCCCTGGGCGCGCCGCCGAGAGGCGGCGGGGAGGACCAGGCCGGCGGAGGCGGGGTCGAGCTTGGCGGTTCGAGGTTCTGGCGTTCGCCCTCGAGTGCGCCTCGAGATTCCAATGGGGCGCACAGAGACATACACATTCTATATGTCCTCCTTGGAGGCGCGCGTCCGACCCGAACATATCGCACACCCATCTTCTAATATATCGTGTCCCGAGCGGTGTGGCCAGACAGCGCCCGCCACGACGCATATACTGTAAGATGTCTCGGTGCGCGCGTCGCCCGCAGGGGAGCGACGCACACATAGTGTTAGTATGTTGGGGTGACGCCGATCCACGGAGACCAGAAAAAAAAAAAACACGTGGGGCGGTCGGGGGACTATGCTGGACCGGGGCAGGCAACCCCCCGTCGCGCTGCGAGGCAACTGCGACGGGAAGTGCTGTGTGGCCCGTGTTCGGCCTCGCGGCCAGCAAAAACCGCTCGGGATGGATGGCTTGGGGAAGGGATCGAGGAGAACTCTGGGGGTCTACGTTTTTGAACAAAAAACATAAAGACGTCGGGACCAGGGAGGCGGCGGGGGAGGAGAGGAGTGGGGTAGACGCTCTTGTGAGGATGTCGGGGGCCTTCTGGGGTCCCTCCATCGCCACGTCTGGATCCCGCCTCGAAATCCTAGCCAGCACGCCCCTGGAGAGCTCCAGAGGGACGACTTAAGAGAGGGAGGGCGGTGGCTGTCACCATTTGTCTGCATGTCAGCTTCGACACGCCCATCGCCCGTGTCGTGCCTCCATTGCGGAGTCAGGGGGTGTCGTGTGCATGCCATCTCGCGTCGCGCCCAGTTCGGTAGACCACTCTGACGGCTCGTTCCCCGTAGAGAGGTCCACCTGAGGCCCCAATGGCGTAGGAGAACCCATAATCGAATCGGAGGATCGGTCGCCGCCGCCGCCACCGCCGCCCGCCGCTGCAGGCGCTGGCGCTGGTCCAGAAATGATTATCGTCGTCCCCGCCGCCGTCGCCAGCCGACGCCGACGCAAGCGCAGCGCCCGGCCCGAGGAGAGGGGAAGCAAGGCGGGGGGGGGGGAGGGGGGATTCGACCCCCCCCCCCTCCATCCAAGGGGGGGGTCCGGATCCAACTCCCCCTCCACCCCTCCAAGCGACCACAGAATGCGCTCCTTCGGATCTACTGAAGCCAAACAGTTCCGCCGCGCCTTCTCCACCACGCTGTGTGTTCACCATGCCTGTTGACGCCCGCCCGTGGCGGCCCAACGCCGATCAAAGAAATCCGCGCAGACCCACGACAATATATGTTTATGTCGTTATGTGTTCGAAGCTCTTCGTGACGAGGGATTGGGGGATCTCGCCAAGGCGATGACAATCTGAGGGATGCGCCCTCAGGAACTCAGGCAATCACTCAGATCGACATCGACGACAAGGCGAGGCCAAGCATATGTTAGGGGGACGTAAGACCTGGGTACAGGGGACTCGGAAATACCCGACGAGGTCGTCAAAAAAATGACGAGGCCGAGCCTGCATTTTGACGAGGCCTCCCGCTGCAGACATCCCACGAAACTCCTCCTCGTCAAAATCCGAGGCGCGGTTGTCAAAAAACGATGGCGAGCCCGAGTCCTGGCAAACCCGGGTCTTACGCTCCCCCGAATATGGGGTGCGGGTCGGGCCTCTTCTGGCGACAGGCCGCGCGCGTCCCTGGCGCCCAGCACGGCGTCGACGCCCCCTCCACCAGCCCACCTCGGGATGCCCAAAGCGGGGGGTGGAGTGGGGGCGGATCGGCTCGGGCGGGTAGTAAACGGGGGCATCCTCAATCGGGGGTGAAGACAAGGGCCCCCTTGGTACCCTTGTAGGTTCTCCAGATAGTTTCCCCTTGTAGCTTCCCCAGAGAGGTTCCCGGTAGTGCCCTTGCAGGTTCCCCTCAATGCCCTTGTAAGTACCCTTCAACCCCAGACAGGTTCCCCCCAAATGCAACCAGCCCGATCTTCTGCACGCAGCTGGTCTTCCCAGTGTGAGGGAGAACGTTCGGCTCAAGGGGGAAACATCGAGCTGGCATCGGCGATCGGCGACAAGCCCCCGAAAGGAACCCGCACGTTCTGGGAAAGCTTGGGCCAGCATGGCTCTATTGGCTGTTCATGGGCGATGGGAGGTCGATGCATCTCCCCGAGAGACTGTCCCCCCCCCCGTCCCCGTTTGTTTCTGATTTCGCCCGGACCATTCAACCTTGAACGATCGGCGGCTTTTCGACCGCCAGGTCGTTCCACACTGGCCGGTTCAGGGCCGCCGCCGGCGTTCAACCTTGAACGCCCGCCCCGGGATCGCAGCCGCATCGACACGACACGAAACTCCCGCAACAGGGAGAAGGGGGGATGGCAGGACAACGAGGACCGGGATGAGGATGCGAACGCTCGGACATGGGATCGGTAGTTGACCCCTCCTATCGGAAGCACGACCCAGCACCTCTGGACGGGGTGCTCCCCAAGTGCTCATGTCTTCCCCCCCATCCATGGCCCCCAATGTGAGGGGCAACGATAGGGGGGACAAGCTCACGGGGGAGACATCGAGATGGACTCGATGACACGTCGCCAGTGGATCGGCGGTGGGCCCCACAGCGAATTCCCTATCGGCGTTGAGCGGGCGATGCGGTGTCGACACATCCCTCCCTGCTGCCGTTGCCCCTGACCATCGCTCACCGCCGCCAGACGCTGGTCTTCCTGGCGCCTCCCGGCACCGGAGGCGGCCGCGCATCGACGAAGGGTGCCCGGCGGCGAGGCCAGCAAGGGGCCGAAAAACCAGCTGCGTGCGGCAGGCTGCGAATCTCCAAGCTCCTCCCGCCTGCCCCCGTCGTCCGCCCCCGGAGAGAGTGCATCCGCGCTGGACCCCACCTCCCTGGCACGCGGAGCGCGCCAGGGTCCGGAGCGCGCGAGGGGCTGCGCGGGGGGGCGCCGCCAGAGGGGCTGTGCGGGGGGGCGCCGATGCAGGAAAACTCCGCCCAGAACTCCGAGAGCTTACGGCCGGGAGCTTTTGCCTAGCGTATCGCGGCGGCGGCGGCCCCCGCTGCACGCTATGAGACGCTGCGCCTGGCAAGCGGACAAGGGAGAAGAAAGGTCCCAATACGGCTGCTCCATGGACCTCACCCGGAGAGCGTTCTGACCAGAATTTCGAGGCGAACCCAGCCGTGGCGACGAGGAGGGTTCTCCAGGAGGAGCTGCGAGATCGGTATCCGCTCCTCCTCTGAGCTAGGCCAAAGTGCTTGACCGTCTGCTTGTGCCGTTCTCTCTTCTTCGGGTCTTCGGTGCAGCCGGCGCCCGCCCGCGGCGGGCGTGCCCCAGCAGCAGCCGAGCCACCGCCACGTGCCCGGCGGCCGCCGCGAGGTGCAGCGGCGTGGCGCCAGCCTCTCTGGCGTCGTCGCCGCCGCCGTCGGCGGCGACGTCGACGACGACGGCGTCAACGACGACGCGGCGACGACGGCGGCGACGGCGGCGACGACGGCGCCGGTCGTCGTGGACGATGTCGACGCCAATGGACTGTCGCGTCTCATTCCTTCCAGTACTGGGCTGGTTCATTTCCCATTTTCTGATCTCATGTATCTGTTAAAACCTGTACACATCTGTAAATTTCCCAAACAATGCTTCTCTGGTCGAACAAATAGGGCCTGCCTGCCGTTCTTGCGGTTATGTGGTCGCCGTCGCCGTCCGTCTCCGCTTCGTCGCAGTTAAAAGAACCGCCTCCCCCCCACCCCCCCCGGACCCCCCAAAATGATTGAGTGGGGCGGACTAATAGAATTCAGCCGCTGGAAACTGTTTTTTTAATCGTCCGCCCCCCGGCGTTCGCTTCATATATGACAGCCTACCCCTCCCTCCCATCCCTTACCATGGCGTAGATCCCCTCTCTACTCGCACAGTTGGATGTCGAGCAGGGCAATGATCTCGAAAAGGTACGCGATGCATTGTAGAGCACGGCATGGCAGGGCGTTGAAGAGCACCGCAAAGCGTAGTATGTCACAGCATGGCGTGGCGTGGCGCAGTGCAGAATTGCATTACAAATCTTTGCAACGCAAAGCATGGCATCGCACAGCGGCCCCGAACATAACATTGCATAGCATGGCGTTCAAGATCAAAGCGTAGCATGGCAGAGCACGACGTGGCACGTTCGTCGCCACAGACGGTCCGCCTGCTTTGCCTTTCTCCGCCAGAATTCTCTTCCGCGCGCGCCGTTGCGCAATTCGAGGGGGGGCGGCCGCGGGGCGCCCGCTTCCCTTCCCTGACTCCGGATCCGCCCTACTTTGGGGAAATTCGTAATTAAGTAGGGCTTGGAATTTCCGCCTTACTTTTCAAGCCCCGCTGATGCCAATTTCCGCTCTACTTTTCTGTTGTTGTTTCCGCCCTACTTCTGTGGATGTTCGCCCCATTTTATGTTGGGTGCAGAAATTGTCGCCCTACTTGTTCGGCTCCTTATAGGTGGATTTCCGACGCAATTTTAAGTTGGAACAAAAGCCAAAGTAGGGCGGATCTGGGGTTAGGGTTGCCCGCCGAGCCGGAAAGGGGAGGAGGAAGAGGAGGAGGAGGAGAGGAGGAGGAAAAGGAGGAGGAGGAAGAGGTGGAGGAGAGGAGGAGGAGGAGGTCCGTAGCCTTGGCTCAAGCCACTGGCTCAAGCCATTTCCCTCTCGCTCGAGAGGGGTGAGGGCTCGAGTGGCACAGCGCTTTCCAGCATCCCCCTGCACCTCCGACCTGGGCCACAGCAGGGCCGCAGGGGGATCACACGTACCTCCCCCTTTTTTATCTGTACTTGATGGGAGGCCGTGGCAAAGGCGGGCGGAAGGGCGGCCAGGCCCCAGTTGGAGGGCAAGGCAAGGGCAAAGGCAAGACCAATGCCAAGCCCAAGGCGCCGCCACCGCCGCCTCAGGAAGCCGCTCAAAGTTTTTTCATGGACTTGCGGGTATTGCGAGTCCAGCGTCAGCCTTCGTCATCAGTGGTGCTGGCAGTGCGGCGCGCACTGAGAGGCTTCACGCTCAGTGGATCCTGGACGTCCAACAGCGACGGGTTCAGGCCCGAAGCCCCAGAAGAGCACCGAGGAGAAGAAGACAGGCCCGCGGATCCTCAAACTTCAGCAGTCTCTAGACCTTTTGCGAGAGATGGAGTCGAAGGCCGAGGGTCGCGACGAGGCCCGCACCGAACAAGCGATGACGGCTCTTGAAGGTGTTTTTGCTCAGCTTCGCCTAGATCGCGATTCTGAGAAAACAGAGAGCCAGCTGACGCAGGCCATCTACACGAAGTTATACAAAGCTCAGCAGCAGCTAGAGCAGCATGTCGCCTACATAGAGAAGCAGCAACATAACCTCGACGACTTAGAGGTGAAGCGTGCGCTGCTGGCCGCCGACATAGAGGCGGCCAACATCACCAATACGGATATGGAGTTGAAGGTCTACAATCTCTTGAGGGAGCAGCACTCGGCGCTCAGCGACCCGTACATGTCGCAGCCTCCTCCTGAGCTGGTTCTTCCACCTGGCAAGAGAGCAGCGATAGCGGCTATGGCACAGAGTAGACCGATCGACTCAGCTTCGGCACTTCTGCAGAGCATGGGTTTCGTGCACAGCACCCTCTCGGACGAGCTGACGCAGCAGCTGAGGAAGCCCATGGAAGAATTTGCACAGCACCTCCGTGGCATGGAGTCCAGCGGAGTGGCAGCCAGAGCTGCAGGAGAGGCGCCTCAACGTGCTGAAGCGGTAAGAGGCTACAGCAGCGGAGGCAGGGCGAGAGGAGGCCGCGGCGGCAGCCGAGGGGCGAGGTGAGGAGTCAGCTGCGGCGGCCGAGGATGCACCAATGCCCCAGGCGCCCTTGGCGGGCAGACGCCCTGCTGAGGAGGCTGCCGAGAGCGCCGCCAAGCGCAGGAACGAGGAGGAGGCCGCAGTGGCTGGGGGCGACCCGTCGGACGGGTAACATTCAGCAGACGCGGTACGCCCGCGGCTGCTTGCAGGTCCTCACGATCAACGCCAACAGTTGGTTTTCTGCAAAGTCGCATATATTAGAGAGTGAGGCTCACATCGTACTCGTTCAAGAAACAAAGATTGAAGGTCAAGGTATGTGGGATGAGTGCGAAAAGGTTCGCAAGTTGGGTTGGAAGTCGCATTGGGCACCATGTGCTATCACGGCCAGAGGCGGCCGTAGCAGTGGCGCGGCGATTTTGCTTCGAGCGCATCTTGACGCCCGGCAAGCCCCAGGCCATGAGGAACCGCTGGTCCCACATCGTTTGATTCATGCATTCTTTAGAACCAAAGCTTTGGGCGTGGTCTCTGTCTACTGTGGCTACTGGCAGGATGGCGAGGGCTCGGGCCCAACCAACCTACAGATCGCCAAGCAGCTGGGGGACAGCGTTCTCTCCCACTCGCTTCCCTTCATAACGGGTGGGGATCGCAACCTCGAGCCCAACGTGTTCCAGGAGGGTTTTAGCCCTGCAAGATGAACGGTCAGCTGGTGATCCCATCGCCCGATGCAACTTGCATGTCTGCCACGCCAGGTCGGTGCTACGACTATTTTCTAGTGGCCAAGGCACTGTTGCCTTGCATCAGCACGGCCAAGACTGATTTGAACTCCGAGTTGTTCCCACACAGGCCGGTGCTCTTGACCCTTAAAACGGATCTTGACAAGCTCAAGGTGCACCGTTTGAAGAAGTATGCCAAGCTCCCAGTGGACCTACCCGTCGGGCCCGCTCCGGAGCCCCCAGACTACCAGGACCTGGTGGACAACCTTGAAGGTCTCCTGCAGCCTCTTCAGGCTTCCGAAGGCTATCGGCTTCCGCGACCTGACGAAGTAGGAGGGCTCCAAGCTGGCCTTGACTCTAACTACCAAACTTGGTGTGAAAGGTCTTGGGGGGAGCTCCAGGGGTCTCTACAATGTTGCCCTCAAGGAGCCCGAGGTGGTAGCCCTTGCAGCACACAGTAGATTCCCTTAGGCGAGCTGCTCTGCACCAAGAGGTCCCCTACCAGGAGCCCTTATCGTGCGATGCATTGGCTGTCTCAGAGGACCTACGAGTTGCGCAGTCTGCTCAGGAGTGGCAAATATTTGGAACACCCAGATTGTTTCAGAAGCTCGGTTCGCTCGACATGGTCAGTGACGAGGACAGGAGGTATTTTTCAAGTATAATTTTCCTGGCGGTCTATATCTATGGACCAGTCTGCTCCGCGAAGCGGTCGACGCACTTCGGGTTCCAGGTGCAGTTGAGTATCTGGAGATTCGTGCAGGGTCACTTCTCGCCCTTCATCATCTGGCCTCCTATTTGTCCTCCATCTACCTCCCCCGTGAAAAGCATGAGAAAGCACAGAAATGGAGAGACTGGTGCTCGGAGGCCTTGTCAGGTGGAGCGAAGTGGGCACGCGCCTATACTAAGGTGGCGGCCGACAAGCGTTAGGCTCTGCTCCCGACAGATGACGGCATGCACACGTCTTGTCTCGCCAGCCAGCTTTCGGATGAGGTCCAGAAGTGGAGGAAGGCGTGGGGAGAGGATCAGAAGGAGGCGTACTAGGAGCTAAGAGAGGCCCCAGGACATGACCATTCCGAAACCTCCAGATGCAGAAGAAATCATTATTTTGAGCAAGAGTTTCAAACGGTCGACGATCGCAGCAGATGGATTTCATTCTCGCCACTATCATCTTTTAAACAGGCCAGCTTTTGCAGTCTTCAGCCTGGTCATGGGCCTCATGACCGTTCTCGGCTCCACGCCGGGCTGGATGCGCAAGCTAGTTGTGGCTCTCTTCCAGAAGCCAGTTTCCGGCAGGCGTCCGATCGGATTCTTTCAGAGCCTAATCAGAATGACGTCTCGATGGCATTCGAGGCACTGCAAAGAGTGGGAGAAGAAAGTCCCCGATCAAGGTGTATTCTCTATGGCCCCTGGCCGCAGCGCGGTTGACGCCGATTGAAGGCAACAGATACGTGGAGATCTAGCTGTGTCAAATCGCCAAGAGGCTTTAACGGTTCTAAGAGACTTACAGCAATGTTATGAACATGTCCAGCATCCGCAACTAGTTCGAGCACGCGCGGACTGGCAGTATCCCCTATTCACTGTACGCTTTGCGATACACACATATCAGTGGGCTAGGGTACTCAGCATGGAGGGGATGGCATCGGAGGAGTTGGAGCCTGGGCAGGGAATCGTTGCTGGGAGTAGTACGGCGACGTTTGAAATCAAATGTTATTGCATACCTACTGTCAATCGGTTCCAGGAGCTCAGGTTCGCACCCACATTCGCTGTTCAAATAGACGACTTCTCGTTGAACATGTATGATAGCTGCATTTACAGATGTTAGAACCATGGCCCTCGCAATGGCATTCTTGGTAAAACAGTTGTCCTCCCTCTTCAACCTGCGCTTTGCCTTTAACAAGTTTGCGATCACTGGCGC